CCAAGTTCTTTAGCATGATCAGAACTTTATTTTGTAATATCCCAAAGAGATTCCATTTTCTTTAGGAAGTAGTTTTATTGCTTTGCTCGGCATCCAGAGGACCAGTCATGACAGTCACTGTTCTGCAATTATGTAAGTATAATCTTTCCTAGGGACAGGAAGACAAACAAAATTACCTCCCTTTTTGGGCTCGTGATTATTGCAATGTTGAATCTGATTTACTATCTGTGAGAAGAATGAGAACTCCACGGCATAATACTTAAATGAGTGAAGCCTTGCTGCCTATTTTCTGTACTTAGCTTGTCGTGCTCTAGATTTGTACATATGTACCCTTTCCTGAGTACAGATGGAGTTTGCTGGGAGTCTGGCTAATAGACAAGCCACCATATATGTCTTTACCTCAAATTAGGAATAAAATATGTATGGGCAAAAATTCAGTCAGCCAAATAAGTGAACTTGAAGGAAATTATTTATCCGAGTAGGTACAAATTTTTTTATTCATGATCTATACATTTAGATATATGCTTTTATTGAACAGTAATATGTTATTTCTCTAATAGATTATATAGTAAAGGGAAACCATATAATTAGTCATTCAAATGAGGACAAACTGGAGAGTGAAAGGGAAGCTATTAATAATTCTGCTAGGATGACACAGAGCAGGACTGTCCCAGGCAAACGGGCATGTGCAGTTCCCCCATGCAGTCTCATGGGGATGTAGATTGTTATGAAACTGTTTCTTCTCATATCAAAAATATGTGACACCATCACATGTCAGAAAAGAATGGCAGGAGAAGATGTGGGTGTGGGCACTGAGGGCCTTTAGAAGTAGTTGCTCTTTCAAGGTTAGGAATGGTAAACAATAGTTTATTTTTCAAGATTAGCATACAAAATGAAAAAATGCAAGCTCTTCCTCTTGTGATTGCAAAGAAAATTAGTCCTCCTTTCATGAGAGTTCTGAGAAAAGGACAGGGAAGGGAGAAGTAAAAAATAGCATGGCTTATCCCACTGTGCAAAGGTATGTATTTTCCTTGCTTTCAACTTAAACAAAATGCAAGTAATGGAGACAGCAAGAAGTTAATAATCAACAGAGGCTATTATTGCACAATGAGAAAAGTGACCTTTATTGCAAAGTCTTGAATAGAGATGGGGATGGGGAGATTTTTGCTTTTTCCTGGGAGCTGCTGGTCATGCCAGAAGGTCAATGCATAAATAACTGACATGAAAACCCAAAAAGCTCATTGGTCAAAACCTCTTTTGGGATTTTTTTTTTGGGGGTGGGGTATTTTTCTCTTCTATATATACAAGTTTTAAGCTTATGTGGAAATAAGTTAGGAAAAAAAAATTCTGCACAGCATTTTCCAATAAGGCCTAAGGAGATTTTTGAGAATCAGAAGGTATTTAACAACAAGACGTTCTCCTGATTAAACATCAATTTTGCCCTTGGAATGAGAAACTGTTGGCCTAATTGTTTAATTACCCTTGAGCTGTTGTCTATATTTACTGCACAATTTCGCAGGTTGAAATGTGATGTTATCTGCTGGGTTGTGTCAGGCAGTCTCATTCAAGAATCGTCTTCCTAGGCTTTTGTGTCCTCAGCTTCAGTAGAAGTTTTTGCAAGTGGCATTTATTTCTCATGATTTTTTTTTTTCTCGTGGAGTGCCTAACAGAGTTCTAGAAGACAGGTGTTGAATGTTTCGAATATTCTTGTTGAGTGATGTGGAGTCTGGAGGTACTACCTCTAGGCATTCCGCCTGTGGCTGTGAAATTGGAAGCGTTGCCCTGCCTGCTGGAAGTCTTCGTTGTCTCTTCTTTGTTCCATCTCATCGTAAGATCTCATGAAGACAGGAGGCATTTCTCTCATAAGCATGCACCCGTCATGTTCCGTTTCATGTGGCTCTAGTAGCCTATGGTTGTCTTTGTTTGTTTAAAATCACTACATTTTTTTTTCAGAAATACATCTTTATTAAGATGTCCTGTGCATGCACATTAAAATGTCAGCATAATCTAATTATGAGCCAAATGAGGCACAGCAGCATTTACATCATTTGATAAATTTCCATCATTTGCAGGGGACTGGTGACTTGAATCCAAATACTTCTTGACAGCCTTGATATAACAAACATTCTGTAGCTCTGTACACCAGGAGCTGGTGGGTGGAGGTACATCCTTTCTTTTTTGGTTACTGCAACCCAGTTTGGAATGTGAATGCAAAATATCTCTTTAGCCATAGACCCAGTTGTAAGGGGAGATACCATGAGGTTGCTATAGGCCACGGAGAATGTCAAAAGGCTTGGTTTAGAGAGCTTCTGGTTGGGATTCCCTCCCATACTTTCCCTGGTCCCCACAGATATTTCTCCCAGGAAAAAGTTTTCGGGGATACAAGGATAAACAGAGTGAAACCTAAATGTTATGCATGTGAGTCAAAGGAATAAGGTGTGGTTCGCATCAAAATTTTGAATATAGTTCCTTTGTATGGATGCAAACATTTCATGATCATTAAAACAAAAAAGAAAACTATTTGAAGATGATGAGAAATACACTGAGCTTTCCCTCAATTTATTTAAAAAATATTTTCTGGCATTCCAAAAACGTGAGAGAATGAAACTTTTTTCATAATTGGAAACAAGGAATGTAGAGAGGGCAACGGGCTGCGTTGTTCTTTCTAGACACTTGCATGTCCACAAGCAGAGTGAGCTGATCACCTATCCAGAGACCTGAGAAAGTAGCACTGCATTTGTTTGGTTTCCTTAATCTTCAGTGTAGAGCTTTGCTTACCCTGACATGATTTTCCTGTTTCTTTCACACTCCATTTAGTGTTATGAAATAGCATGATACAAAAGCAAAGGATGGGAAAGAAAATGAGCTTGCCCTCTTTTGGCTTCCTAAGACTTGTGACCCTGAAAACATTGCTGTGACCTCAGAAACATTAGAGAGCTGACAAAAACATAAAGGGGGGACAGCATTAGAGCAGAGGCAGCAGTGGGATCAGTGGGGGCACTGATGGGGCGGAGGTGGGCTGGGGTGGGAGTCAGGCTGTTGGTTGTTGACGTGGCTGCGGAAGCAGAGGGGATAAAGAGCTCCCAGGGGAGGACTGGAAAAGAAAGGTATGGGAGGTTAAGGTGGATTGGTTTGCTTGGATTGTTCCAGGTAAGCAGCGGCAAGGCAATGAACAGAGACAGCATTGCAGGGGCTGGATAAAGAAATCAGAATTCTTTTAGGGTTGAAAAGAAGGTCATGTGCAATCCCTGCTCAGAAACTGAGGGCATCACAGTATCAGGCGCCATGAAGGGAAGAGGGAATAGATGCCAACATTGCCTTTGTCCTGAAACTACAAAAGAATGGGAGCAAATGATTAACGGAGGGACAGAAATAGGAGGAAGCATCATCCTGAAGCTCCCTAAAGGTAACCAAAAATTTAAACAAGCCAAGGATGTGACAATATTTTAATCTGCAATACATTCTATCCTCCAAGTTAGAACTTCTAGTGCATCTTGATATCTACACCTGTTTACACTTTTTCTTATTTGCTCAGTTAAATTTGTAAGAGTAAGGTGTATTACTCATCTTTGGTATCTCTCCACAGAACTGAGAGTAAAGTGGGTATTCAATACATGCTTGGATATGGAAGCAGAAAAGCCATTAAGAACTGTGTTCAAATCTCTTCAATTTTTTTTGTTTGTTGAGCATTAATATCCTGAATTTACACCCTACGTTATACAGCTAAACACACTACTTTGTTCTTACTCTATCACAGCAAAGGCATTCTGACTACACAGTCCTTTAAAGACATTTCAGCTGTTCACCCAGTAGCCCTGTCATAGCTGATTATTTAAAATAAAGAGGTGTGGGGGGGGGGACGGGGTTCATTTTGACAAAAAAGGATTTCTCAGTGTGAGTCCTGCTGTCCTAACTATTTTATCAATGAAAATTGCTTTTACAGAGAGTTGTAGAGGCTGGGGAAAAGGCATTATGTTTCCTCTTTCCCTTGCCAGTTGGGTGCATAATTCTCAGCCCCTGAGTTCATAAAGAATAAACAGATTTCAGATCCTCTGTGGTCACACACAATTTAAAACCTGCTATTTATGTTTCAGATGTTAAAGCTGGAGAGAAGACACTGGCGGAACACAGAGACAAAAGGAGTCAGCAGACTGTAAAAGGCAACACGGGGGACCAAACACTTCTCACTAGGCTAGGTTTCTTGATCCATTTACTTAGTTTATACTGCACATTTCTCTCATAGATTATACATTCATGCCATTCAGATTCCCGGCCTCTAACATTTGGAAGAGATGACCTGTCGGATGGTGGAAAGAGGCACAAGGAATGTACATGCAATATTAAAAGCCTTTGTTTTCTAATATTTATAAAGTGCAATGAAATAATTTTAGAGGACCTTCAAACAGGACAAGTGCATACACGATATTTTGTTTTATGACTGAATGGGCCCCACAGCATTAAAGGGGCCCCACTCTGTTAAATAAGAAGCAGAAGTTTGGGGTAGAGATGATTGGCAGCTGGCTCTGTGCTGTTTTCAGAACCATTACTTTCATGGATTGTGAGTTGGAAGGACATGGCTAACATTGACTCACGGCCCTAAATCTTCAATGATTGCATTCAAGGCCCTAAGAAAAAAATCTAAGCTGCAGACTCAAGATCAGATTACACATAAATATCCCAACCATTTATCTTATTATTTGGTGACTTGAACAAAACTATCTTCTTCCGCAACCCCCCGCCCCCATCCTCCCCACCAAATACATTCCTGATTTTCCTCAGGGGTTTAGGGGGAAAACCATAGGAAATAAAATATAAAACCAAAGGTTATGAACTTTTTTTTTTTTTTTTAGAGAAAAGTTTAGACCAGCTGGCTCTACTTTTGAGATACTTTCTGAACCTCAGAATATCAACTCATGCCCGATCATCTCAGTTTCAATATATCCCTTGGCAGGGCTTCAGCCATTACTAATGTACCCTTGTTTTATGTGGCTTTCACTTACGCCTACTTTCATAAATCGCTCTAGATTTCTCGTAGAGCTCGTAGGGGTCAGGCTTCCTTGGGTCAAAGGCCTCTGTTGAGTCAGGAAAAGAAGTTCTGTGGAGGGTGGGTGGGAAGGGCAGGTTCTGCGGGATGGCCGGAGCAGATAGACTCGTTTGAGGACTGCCTTGGTTCTCCCAGCGGTCCATTATCTGGAAGGCAAAAGAGAATAGAAGATGGCTGATGGTGAATTCCTCTTTGTCACACACCACAACCCTCACCTTTATTTATTTATTTATTTATTTATTTATTTATTTATTGAATCTTAATTAATTAATTAATTTATGACAGTCACACAGATAGAGAGAGAGAGAGGCAGAGACACAGGCAGAGGGAGAAGCAGGCTCCATGCACCGGGAGTCTGACGTGGGATTCGATCCCGGGTCTCCAGGATCGCGCCCTGGGCCAAAGGCAGGCGCTAAACCGCTGCACCACCCAGGGATCCCCAACCCTCACCTTTAAATTAGACTCTCTTGCCCCATGGACTTTCCTTAGACTCTCTTGCCCCTTGGACTTTCCTTAGTTAGACTCTCTTGCGCTGTGTACTTTTCTTCCATGAAACATTTGCAAGTTTGGAATAAGTGTGAGAAAAGACTCTGTCTCTGGTTAAAGTACTGAAGACTGTACTCAATACTAGTGGTTGCCTGACTTCGGAATGCAAACTGACATAACTTTGTCACCTAGTGCTGGTCATCTCTAGCAACTCACTTAATCTCTCCCAGTGTTTTTTCCTCCTCCACAATAAAGATGACATGTGTCTCAAGATAACTTTGTATGTAAGTGTGGAGAAATGTGTGGTACTGGCCCTGAAACATTACGCCATTTTTACTAAAACAAAAGAGAATAAAGTAGTCTACGTGTATTCTCTTGACATCTACGCATATCCCAATAATCTCCTATACCTGAACATTTGGGGTCACTTTCCCTTTAGTTTTAAGTAATAATGCGACCACCTGGGATTTATGAATTGTTCAAAGTCTTCTGTGAAGCCTCATTTACTTCTGATCTGGCAGTTTCTTTCCCAAAATTCTACTGCTGATGTTGCTACCACTACAGTTTATTAAAGATCTCTAGAACACTTCCCAGTTTACCATGTTTTCTCACACACGTTTATCTTCTTGGATCCGCACCATGGCTCCATGAAGTAGATAAGGCAGGACTAGTGTCCTTTTGTCAAATACAAAGCCAGGTTAACTGAGAACACCTGTTTGTACCACCAACTTCACCTTCATTCACTAGTCAACTGATTCAAACTCAACTTATTCTTTTCTGCTTTGGATAAACCTACTTTGTGTAAAACTTAGACTAGGTTATCCTTATGTCTAAAATTCTGCATTGGGTCAGCATGGTCTTCAGCTTAAGGGTTAAACTCCCTACTGGGGCATTAGTAGCTCCTCATGATCCAGTTTCTGTTCACCGTTCTCATACTCACTCATAGTCTCTCCTCTCATTCCCCAGGACCCATCAGATTCTCTCCTGCCTCTGATCTTTTGTGTACCTTCTTAATTTCTCCTTCTGCTTACAAAGTTTACCCATTTCTCCACTTTTTCCACCTCCCTTCCTCCCTTTACCTGGGGGCTATTAGACTCAGATAACATGTGTTTTCTAAAAGGCCTCTGCTGACCATTTTTTTTTTAAAGATTTTATTTATTTATTTATTTATTTATTTATTTATTTATTTATTTATTTATTTATTTATTCATGAGAGACACACACACAGAGAGAGGCAGAGACACAGGCAGAGGGAGAAGCAGGCTCCCTGTAGGGAGCCTAATGTGGGACTTGATCCGGGTCTCCAGGATCACGGCCTGGGCCAAAGGCAGGCTCTAAACTCCTAAACCACCCAGGGTTCCCTCTGCTGCCCATTCTTAAACTGGTCACACATCCCTCCCAGATGCCTCACAGCACCTCTATCTACCCCTCACACCCAACGCTAATGATGCTTAACTATTATGGCAAGACTATCTATGTCTCCTCAAATAAGCATGGTGGGGACAGATCCTGCTGGGGACACAGTCTTTCTCATTGTTGTATTACCGACACATAATAAGCTCAGAAAATGTTAATGTAGTGAATGAATGAAATCATCAATAAAATATGGTCAGCTGTTCTTTTTTCCCCTAATCTGGCTGACTTATAACTGTTCTTTTTTTAAAACATACAAACAAACAAATTAGCTTTGATATACACTGTTTTGAGGTTGGCAGGATTACGACTCTTTATCCCTTATTGCACCGTTCTGCTCTTGTTTCCATGCTGGCTATATTGGTTAGGGCTCCTACACCAGCTCTGCTTTGTCACTTATAAATATTTTAAGGTTGGAGGGAATGTGATGTGCCAGGTACCTACCATGCATGTCACTCTGTAAAACAAAGTTCCCTGTGACTTACTCACCTAGCTGAAGCCATGGCAGATATCGAGTGAGCCAACAAACTATGGAAGAAATGAGTCACTGACCCATCTCTCAATAAGACTGATACCATGGTCTGAATGATTGGGTCCCCACCCAAATTTATATATTAAAATTCTAATACCTAACGTGATGGAACTAGGAGGTGGGACCTTTGGGAGGCAATTGGGTCATGAGGGTGGAGCCCTCATGAATGGGATGAGTGCCTTTATAAAAGAGACTCAGAGTCTAGAAGACCCTTCTGCCAGGTGAGGTTGCAGGGAAAAGATGGCCATCTAGGAAGTGGGAAATCACCAGACACTGAATCTGCCAGGGCCTCGATCTTGAACTTCCAGCCTCCAGAACTATGAGGAAAACTTGCTGTTGTTTACAAGCCACCCCGTCTATGGTACAGCAGTGTGAAGGGGCTAAGACAATTGGCTTCATTTAGCTTGTTTTCTATACGGGCTTCTGATCAAGATTTCATTTGAACAAAGTTTCTAAACCCAAAGAGGATGGAAAATCCTAGTTGGGCTCAATTCCCTAATATTGAACATAACCTCAAGAGTGTGAAGATGTCCAGCAGTGGTCAGCAGCAGATCCCGGATGCACCCAATTTGTAACTCTAACGGGAGTGCTTTTTACAATAATACATTGAGTGGAATAACTGGCAAATTTTTTAGAATTTTGGCTAATATTCTGCTCAGTGGACTTTTTGTTCCCATTTAATAAAAATCCTTAAATACACACTTCATAATTCATTTGATAGCAAAATTCATCTAGGAAGCCATTCTAGGTTCTTTGGTCATCCACTCTGTGTCTTTGCTATGATGAGCAGACCCACATTTGTGGCTAAAGTCATATTGTTTTTTAATTTTTCACTTAAAGCGACTGGCTTTAGGCACCATGTGGATGCATTTTGGCGGTGACTTTCTCCCTTCTGTTTCCGAACATAAGGTACTAAATTCTAAACAGTAAATAATTTAGATATGTGGACGGAGTAGCTTTAGAATAGCCACACAGGTCCTGCTATGTGTTGTTCATGTGCAGTCATTGGAGCAAACACGCTTCCGGTGAAATATTAGTATTTCTAAACAACATTCTTAAAACTACAGAACAAATAATGCTTTGGGCACTCTTGGGAAGGCTACTGGGGCCGAGTGACAAATTCTACAATTTCTGTAGCACAGAAACGAGGGAATTAGTCAAGAGTCCGGTTTATGCTTAGTAAAGCATACACAACATCTTGCTGTGACATTCATCAACCCTTGAGTCACTCTGTCAGGGTTTCTTAAAAGACTGTAGAGCAGAAAAATCACTGTGCCCATGAAATTACTGAAGAAGCAGACTTGCAGTCCTAGAGCTACCCTCCTCCCCCGACTGAGTTATTTGTTGGCTTTGGCCCAAAAGCCTATGAAGCAAACCACTTGCCTTGGGATCAGAGGTCACCCTCTGCTCACTGGGGCTGGTGTGCTGATCTAATAGCCTCCTTTCAGGGTGCGCTTTGTTGACTTCTTACTTTCTTAGAAAACTGGTCTCTGGACTTCTGCTTTCCAGCTGGGACACTCTGCTCATTTGTTCCTCTCAAGCTTCTTGAACACCCTAGATTCTGATCCTGTCCTGTTGCTCAGGCCCTTGGCCTCACTTGTTCCACCCAGTGGCTCTGGCAAGACATTTACTTCTCCTGGCTTCTGAATGGGCCTTGTACAGTCCCAACTATGTCCATGCCTACGTAGCTTACTAGTGTGAGGAAAAACAAACATGTAGTTGTTTTCAATATCTGGGAGAAACCTTGTGTCTCTGCTGGCCTCAGTGAATGAATGAATGCCTGACTGTACGAAGGTATAGTCACTGAATTATCATCAGACAGAGTGGACATATAGTCCACAACAGGGCCTTGCATGGTAAGATAGGAAAACCCAATCATGATGTGGTTAATTTTTGACTCCCCATCCTGATCTAGGGGTCATGCTGAAAGTGGACGACTTGTGAATAAGGCGGTGCCCCACCTCCCAGGAAGTGCTCCATTTAGAATCTGTTTGCTTTCCATAGAAGCTGGCTGGGATAGACTAAATGCACCCCCTCATTATTTTAGGGCAGGGATGGGATATGAAGGCATTTGGTTTGATTCTATACTTGAAAAATGAACTTGGATCCCTTCCAGATGGAGAGCATGAGAACTCACTACAATTAGAATACTTCTTGTCACAAAGGAAATGACGATCTCAACAAGGATTAGCTTAAGATGTAGATCAGTAGGGACAGAAGAGGGTCAGAAAGTGACACAGGACCAGGAGAAGGAGAGATCTCACTCAGGATAACGTTTCCTTATCCTGACTACAGATGTCCTCAATCCTTCTCAGAGGAGAGAGTCTATAAATCCATATACTGTGGACATATATTTATATATTTGTTTAAATGAATACTTTAGCAAACTATGTTCACTTTATAGAGTCATTAATTTATTAGGGTTTCATGCATGGAGGGTCTGCTTTCTGGGATGACAGTACTTTATATTTCTCTTTTATTCTCCTAGAGGTTTTATCTGTTGATTTGCAAGAGAGCAAGAGAGCTGGAGCAGAGGGGAGGAGCAGAGGAAGAATCAAACTCCCCACTGAGTGGAGAGGCTGCTGTGAGGCTTGGTCCCAGGACTCCAGGATGATGACCTGAGCTGAAGGCAGATGCCCAACTGACTGAACCACCCAGGTGCCCCAGTACTTTATATTTTTGAGCTCAATATGTAGAGGCGCTGTTTTAAGCAACTTACATGGACTGGTAAGACTCTCTATGATGACTATGTGAGTGGGGTACTATTCTTTTCCCCATTTTACAGATAGAACTTGAGATACTAACAACCTAAGTGGCTAGCTGAAGGTCATATAGCTACTAAGGAGAAGCAGCAAAGTCTGAACCCAGGCAGTATGCTTTCAAAGCCTGGACCCTAAAACGTATATGACACTGCTTCTCATTACAGTCTTTGGTCTAAAGAGCTTCTGCTGGATCCATGGAGGACATTAAGTTGACAGTCCTATATTCTCACTCAGCCTAGAACCTGGAAGTCCAAGCCTTAGCTTTTGTAGGAATGTGTGGGGTTCAGGATTAATTGTAAATCGAGTTCTATAAAACCTTTTTTGGAATTATTGACTATGGATGTAATTACTGTAATGACAGAAAATACTGTAATTATGCCAAATGGCATAATTTGTGTAAATGTGGTACATATGAGGAAATCACTAAATTGCATAATTGTAGCACCATGATGAAGTTGCAAGGCTCCTTGTTAAATTAGATAAAGATGTGTATAACCACAGAGCACAGATTAACTTTGGTGATGAAAGGAAGAAATTATTTAAATTTTGGCCAACCAAGATAAAACAAATTTCATTTTAAACATTTTAAACTCCCCTCTTTTCAAACTCTGTACCTCACTAAATGGTTTACTAAACCCAAATAGGTCCAGGTTCCCCATCAGATATTCTCTGTGGCCCAGACGAGGCCAATCCTAAACAAGGACATGGTTGTTGAGGACATCCTGCCCTGACAATCAGCTCTTCATCTCTAGCTCCCAGTTTCCTTATGTCTTTTTGAGAGAAACATGGAACTGGGGCATATGACAGGGCTCAATTATACCTTATTTTTACATCTTCAAACCATTTCAATGCTTGTTATTTAGTTAAGCCAGTTATTGTACTTGAAAAGTGTGCAAAATCATATTACGTCCCTTTATAAAATGAGAGAATCAAGCAGTTAAATATTCTCTCAGTAAAAGAAATAGGAGAAGCATCAATTAATTCAAGAATTCCCTACTCACTGGCCAGACTTGGGGCCACTTTCATCTGAGTTCCTCAAAGTGGGAGGGAAGAAAAGGAGTAGGTGGGGGAAGTGATTCCCTGAGTTTTATTTTTGACTGGAATCACTTTGCTGTGGTTCTTTTCTAGCTGTGGGTTATAGACACCCCAGGTAGGGTACAGCATTCTAGCACAGCATGAAATGGGATCCCAGAAAACCAGTGCCAGCTCTGGGAACTTGGACAGTTACTATTTTCAATCTAATGGCAAGTAAAAATTAGGTCTAATTGTGAAGTCGACTTGGCTAATCTAGCCACACAAAAAGTATTAAAATCCATCAGCCTCCTGTATTGGCATCAAAATTTCAGGCTGATTCACAAGGAAACTAGTCCCAGAGAGTTTAAGTGAGGGAGAAGAGTACCAGCTTCTGAAGGAGATTCAGAAGTTGAATGATTGCCAGGTCTGTTGGAATATGTATGTCTCTGCAATATTCACACACATAGTTAGAATATACATTAAAATGTAAACATAACTATATACAGAACTGAATTTTTTATGTCCCAGATGTAATTTATAGGTCAAGACCTCTAGGCCTATAATTTGCATTGTTTATAATAAATCCATGTTATAGACTATAGTTATTTCTGACAGGGGAAAAACAAAATGTCTCTGCAGGACACCATACTGAGTAGTGTTAATACTCATTTTCTAAGTATATTAAAAAACAGGAAGCATTGCCTTTACAGGAAAGTGAGACAAGTTATTTTGCATTTGTGTGACAAGTACAAGACGAAGGGACACAGGATTTGTTCTTTTGACATCACAGCATCTTGGAGGTAAAAGAGATTTTGAGGTCACCCAATTAACTCTTACTTAATGGGACTGCAATAGTAACTAGAAATCAAGAAAGAAGCATAATAATTCCAACTTACAGGCTTTGGAGTTTTCCATGGAGAAAAGAAACCTGTAATAAAGAAAACAATATTTGAACTTTGAAAATATAACCTGCTTACCACTTAAGGGTGTCATGCTATTAAGATGACTGCATTCATATTATTCGTTAATAGCAAACCATAATGACAAAATACGCTACAGTTTTCTTCAAGGAGCCCAAATAACTTCGTTGGAATTATATTAGTTCTTCTAAGGACATTTCCTTATTTGGAGGCTGAGAAGTCTGAGGCACAGAGAAGGTAAACTGTATGGTAAGTGGTCAGCTGTTTTACAAGATCTGAGATTGAACCATCCTAGGGGTCACTGTGTCACAGCTGTAGCTGGATAATGGGGGAGAGGGCGAGGTGCGGGGGAGACAAAGAGAATATGTACAGAAATTAAGTTCTTCAAGGTAAGTACTTTTGCTTAGTATAAAAAATAATCTGCTTGGCATACCTTCCTTATGCGGTTAAAAAGTAATCAACAAGCCTTCATTGGTCCTAAATATTCTTTTTTTTCTGTTTTTACTTTTATTTGCATTTACTTTATGCAGAATTTACTCCTGGGCCATAAGTTTTTGTTTCTTCAGTTTCTTCAGGGCTATCTCTTTCTTCTATGCAACCTCCTCTTCTGGTTTTAGGAACAGTCTGCTCTTTTTCGTAAGGATCATCTCAGTGCAGCAGGGAGGGCTCACGCATGGGTTAATCTGACCACGAGCCCTGAAGGATCCACGCTGCATCTTGGGGACTTTGCTCACTTGGGGGTGCTCAGTGCCCAGATAATCTACATCTAAGCATTTATGCTCAGTATTACTCTCTGTACTATTAAGCATGTGCAGTAAAAATTCAGCACTCTTTTGGGTCACTGACCCTGTGTGCAGGCTCACAGTTTGGCCTGAGCACACCTACCACCTCCATCAGGGCAGTGATGGGATGGCACACATTGCTTCTGCAGAGTGACATCCTTCAGATACTTGCTGGCTTTACGGATATGCCTACCCTTGATGGCCTGGGCAGCTTAGTGTGTTTAAAATGAACATGAAGATTTGAACCTCTTGATTTGCATAATTTTGTAGGGTTTTCTGGGTCAAGTGAAGAGTGAACCATTTTCAGAGATCACCTCGGGCCACTTACAGACGAGCTCATTAGTCCTAAATTTAAAAATAATGTATATATCTGTTATGAATCAGATTCCAGTGTATAAAAGAATAACTCTTTGGGGAATGTTCTCCCATGGAGCCCTTCTCTGAGCAGGTATCTATTTATTATGTTAGCGCTACAATATTGTATATCAAGAAACAGCTCAAACTGTTTGTTAATTGAATGACTCGTGTATCAACAAAGCCATGCTTTTTTTCAATTTAGTGAGCAATTTCTATTATTACAAATGGTATGCAGATTGGACTGTCTCTGCTGTGATCCAAATGACCATTTAGATAATGAAAAGCAAAAGACAGATTAATTCCTTGTTCTTTTTTTCTTCTATTATTATTATCATATGGTATCAAGTTTTTTAAAAAACAGTAAAAACAAGCTTAAAAATAACGGTGAGGAGGAGGGCAGCTGACATAACTGACCCTAGTAAGCCAAAACATAAACAGTTTTGCTCATGTCAATGTTAGTTGCTATCTGAAAAATGCCCAATAAAAATGAAATATTGAAAATAAGCCACATACTGTGTGTTTATCATCTTAAAAACTGGGACTCCTATAAATAAAATGGTTATGGTTGAAAACTGTAGCCCCTTTATAGGAAATATCTAGAGGAAGCTGGACACACAATTATCTAGATGGTGAAGCAATCCTGCTCAGGCATGGGATCAATACTAACTGTAGTACCTCAGTGCACATTGTGGGGACCTGATGCTTCATCTTATGAAACGAGGGAAGGATGTAATCTATCAGGTTTCTCAGCTTTCCTTGGAACCCAGAGTCAAATTTAATGCTCAACTGTAATGACCATCTTACTTAAGGAGATGAGAAGAATTAGCTCATCTTACATACTCTGTGAGTTCTTATCTCTCCTTCCAACTAAAGGACAAAAATTCTGTTCCACGTGTGGTTCGATTATAACTTAATTATAAGGATCTAATCATATCTTTTTTTTGGAAGCAGCTGAGAATGAAAATTACAGATAAATAAATACATTTATCTCCTTGACTCACTCTGTAAAATGCCAACAAAAACAAATTGATCATTAATTCTACAGTGAAAAAAAATTGTAACCTATTGGCCAATTAACCATTCCTTTCCATGAAGGATAAGATTTATTTGTTGATTTATGGAATTGCCAGCAACAGGTCTTCTGCAAAAGTTGTCACTTGTCCAGTCTCACACGTCAAAACATTCAGTTATTTCCTCTGCTTTCTTTATGTCATCACCTTCTTTGTGGGGCACCAGAACAGATTTTGAGTATTTGCTGTTTTACATTTGTAAGGTGCTGGGAGTTTCTTAGACACTGATACAAATGTATTGAAAATGGTTGCTCTCTTATGGAGCTCTCAACTCTGCAAGGGACATTATGCTAAAAGATGATTATTCCTCCTATGGAAAATGTGTAATCATCTGACCTCTGAGCAGTTAGGGTGCCAGAACTAAAATGGCATAAGAGGGATAGTGGTCAAGATCAGACAAGGAGAGAGGGATGTTTAACGTGACCACCTTTCATCAGAGCTACTTTGGCTTCCCATTCTTTTAAGGCTGTTTCATTTAGTCTGACCTCAGACCATTGGCATGACCCAGGACTTCTTTACTGCTCCTATTATGGCAGTTTCTGGAATATTTCTAATTATGACTTGTGCAGCAGAGGCTTCAGTCTGAAGCAATAGTTAGTCTTTCTGAGACATTGTTAAAAAAAGGTTGGTTGTATGGAGTAAGTAATTTCAGGTAGTAAAAATGGTATCAGAATAGATTTCCCCAAATATAGATAACTTATGTGGCCCTTTGTGTTTCTTTGACAAATTATCAATTATGCTATAAACATTTAAATTAAAATAAATAGAAAACATCTATCTCAGATATGCTTGATTTGGTTTGATTAAGCCAGAAGGTCAAGTTTTCCATATGATTAAACTCCAACTTTCTGTTCAACTCCACTGGAAAAGCTACAGAAACACTACAATAGTGTGGACCAAACTATTATATAAGTGTACAGTTTTTTTGGGGGTAGGATGGCCCCTCTTAGAAACCAAGTTTATTCCAATTAATATTTATTTATTTATTTAAAAATATTTTATTTATGAGAGACACACACGGAGAGAGAAAGGAAGAGACATAGACAGAGAGAGAAGCAGGCTCTCTGTGGGGAGCCTGATGCTGGACTCGATCCCAGACTCTGGGATCATGCCCTGAGCCAAAGGCAGATGTTCAATGGCTGAGCCACCCAGGCGTCTCTCCAATTAATATTTAAATAAAACCACCAAAACCAAAGGAAAAACTTTTAAATCCTTATTCTGTAATTTTCTTTTTTCTAGAATCATTCTAGTTGGAGATAGATCACAGAAGCAAGATAGGTGTGGTTTGCTCAGAGTACGACTCTTGGGTTTCCCTCCACCCATCTCCACGGGAAATAGAACAAGGATCTGGAGAACTTTTTCTTAATCTTTTCAGAGCTATGAACATAGCTCACAGAAGAAAGGAATGTGTGTACCTAAACAGCATTTCTTTAAAATAACAGTAACAACATCTTTACGTTTTAGTTTATTTCTGGCCTTGTTTCTTCTACTTCTATAGAAAGCAGTATATTATATTCCCTTGTGGGATTAAAATTTCTTTATGATGGTCCATGTTTTCCATATTAATCCTTTATTGGTGTGTGTGTGAGCACATGCCTACAAATGCAAAAATTTATTTAATCCTTACTCTTAAGACAACAAAAGTGAAAGACCTTAATGCACAGAGTTATAAGCTGAAACATAAGTAGAGACATAAAGGGGGGGAAAATAAGAGAATAAATGGGAAAATTTAGGTGCAGCTAATAAGAAAACTTAGATGCATTTAATATGAAGCTCAAAATGGAATTAGATTTTTAAAATCCATCTTCATTAGAATAAGAAATTAAACTCAAATAAATTTTTAATTCTGCACCTAAAAGCACAGTGAGAGGGGCAGAGAAACAGAAGCCCAGTGCAAAGAGCTTAGATAAGAAATTCCACTACTCGGGACACCTGGGTGGCTCATAGGTTGGGCATCTGCCTTCGGAGCCCACATCGGGCTCCCTGCATGTAGCCTGCTTCTCCCTCTGCCTATTTCTCTGCCTCTCTTTCTCTCTGTCTCCCATGAATAAATAAATCAAATATTAAAAAAAAAGAAATTCCACTGCTCAAAAATAGAAGACAAACACTGATTTCATACTGAAATTTCAATTGAATTCTATATGTCAATAAATGCAACTTTTAGTAAACTACAGGACTATGGTTGTTGTATAAAATGCAATATGCTAAGTTAAATTTCAATTTTAGATAGAGAATGATTTTTTAGCATAATATGTCCTATACATTGCATGAGATATGTTACATAGGACACTCTCATACTAAAAAAGATTACAAATTTGTTGATTATTTGAAGTTCAGTTTGAATGGGAATTCTGTTTTTTGTTTTGTTTTGTTTTTGGGAGAACATGCAGGCACAAGCATGGGCTGGGGGTGGTGGTGGGGGGAGGCTGGACGAGCAGAAAGAGAGGGGGAGAGAGAATCTTAAGCAGGCTCCATGCCCACTGCAGAGCTTGATCTCACAACCCTGAGATGGTGACTTGAGCCAAAGACAAGAGTCCAATGCTTAACCAACTGAACCACCCTGGTGCCCCGGGGAATTCTGTATTTTTCTTTGCTAAATCTGAACACCCTATAAAGGGAACATTTTATATAAGTCCATTTAAAAATGAAAACACAATAGTCTACTGCAAGTAATATCTCATCTAATCAAATAAAAAAAAACAAACAGAAAATACTTAATATTTCCTTTTCTTGCACTCCCTCCAGTGTTTTATTGTGAGGAATCTTGCTTTAGAGAAACCTCAGAACGCTCCGTTTGCT